AGCGTGTGTGGGAGGGGGCCTGTTCGCATGTCTCCCAGCACTCGTTAAATCCTCACATGCCATTCCTCTTCTCTCTGTCAGTTAGCACCCCATCATCTCAGGTGACGATACAAAAAAATGGGATGACAAAACATCACAGATGCTGGCGTCCCCTCTCTTTCCTCCGTGCTCAGACACAGAGAGTGAGACATAGTCACATAGACAGGAACAAAACAACAATAAATACATCCCCCCCCCACACATCTCAGCATTCTCTTCACATCTCACTGCGAATGCTCTCTGGGTAATGCTAGAGCTGGAGCATGGCACAGAAAAATCCCAGCATGAGCCTTTATACATATATGGATGACGAGGATGCTTTTGGAGTGCCGCTAGCATGGCGAGGATGCGTGGGTCAGGAAAAGGAGGAGCGATGTGAGGAGAATTCAAAATAAATGAAGTGACCTGAATTATTTAGAGGTACAAACTGAGAATTCAACCTAGCTTTTAAAGGGAAGTGGGCAATTGCCACAAAAAGCCATCCACAGTCCCCTTGTATCCAACCTGATCTGCCCACTTCAATGTGAACCACTGAAAGACTCCGTCCATTAGGCGGAGAAAGAGATAGAGAGCTGCAAAGAGGCTACAGGTCCACCCCCTTTTCACTCCACTTTCTCTCGTTTGAGTCACGCAGGGCTTTCCGCACTATATTTCATCAGCCCTCATTCCAACCCTTTTTTATTTTCACACTGCCTCCCTCACACTAAATATATTTATTATCCTGCTATGTGTTGCAGATGAGCTCCTTTGGCTGGGTTTCCATTACTGGGTAGAGTGCAGGAGACCAGATGGAAAGAGGAAGGAAGAGAAAGAAATCAGAGTAAGCAATTCTGTTCGCAAGCCAATTCACGGTGCAAGACTAATGGCGGCAAAACTGAGTACAGCTCTAATCAATACACATCTCTCCTAATCAACAGAGCTGATAAATCAAATGGTCCCTTGTATGGCCTGTGGCCTTCAGATGGCACATATAACTGCTCACCCAAGAGGGATAACTCTGTTTGAGGACCTCAGTGGTTAATAAAATCTCCCAATATGTTTCCAACAGACCTGACATGTGTGTACATCTAAGCCTGCCCCGAACGCAATATAAAAACACACTTTGAAGTATTCTGTAGCATGGTGGGTAATGCAGCAAAAACAAAATACAGTAATAACAACATAATCAGGTATATTTGACATTGCAAAGGGCTAATAATGATGGAGACACTTGCAGGTCACATGAAACTACTGTAGCACATCAGTACACAAACTTCCCCTTTTATTGCTAAACCACACATTAACTTCCCCTAGGACGAGTGATAGAGTCTCTGAAATGTATTCAACCTTGTGAATTTACATTATAGCACAAACCACCTCATTGTGCATGTGTGTGTAGAAAGTGTGGAAGTATACTGCACTCAGTTGTGTTTGCAGGTCTGTGTGTACAGGTGTGTGTGTGTGTCTCAGCATGTGATTGCTGCATGTTGACCTGAGAAACAGGTTTACAGAGCCTTGGGGCTTTCAAACACACTTGACATGCAATCTTTCAAACATACACACAAGAACATCTCCTGCCAGGTAAGGGCCTCTTTACCAGTGCATGGGACAAGTAGAGAGAGATCTGAGACTGGCAGGCCTCGGTGCATTGGCCAGCAGCAGGATGGAGAGACTGAAGTGAGCTGGAGGAGGGCAGAAGGTTCAGAGGAAAGCCCCAGTGAGGTGAGGAGGCACCTGACTGAGGCAGGATATGTTTGAGATCTCACTACATGATAAACCACTATCTCAAAATGTGTATGTTAAAGCCATAATGACACAAGAAAAAAGACAATTCTGAGCATCAAAGATGGATGTTCTATGTTATGGAAATAAATTGACTAGCCTAAATGTCATGCATCTCTTGAAGGCACATCAAAATTGAAACCGCAGTTAAAAGAAATATAGGCTAGAATTTCTTTGCCACCCTTTAATAGGGTAAGCTACATTTTCACAGGGTACTTCAGCATGCTACTGAGACAAAGGACAATATTTAAACCTTCTGCAGCTCTGACCTACATATCCCCAAGAGACTCCCTTTGAAATGCAGTCCTACTTCTCGGTGTATAGTGCTGAATGAAAAACAACCTTGGCGTTTTATACTTTATACTACACAATGTGAATTACGACCATAAAACAGCTTACTTCTTTTAAACTAATCCGCCATATTAGGGAAGGGCTGCACAATAGACTATTGTTTCAGCATCACAATGTGCGCATGTGCACACAACAATGTTTTGTCAAGTAACGTAAATGAATCATGCTTCAACTTTTTTCTGCTTGATACAAAAGGAAAACATTTGTAATAACTCAGCTAAAAGAGAACACTTTTATACAAAGTTATTTGCAAGTGAGTGAATTGAGAGAAACCACAATTCAGAGTCATTGTTTATCTTTTTGCAGGATCAAAATACCAAAAAAAGGAAGTGTTGGTGCAAAAAGCTAATCATTTGCACAGAAAAGATGATTAGGTATTTTGTCAAACAATTGCAATGTCTGTTATTTCCAAAAACCTGCAGCCCAAAGGTTTCATAATTGTCAGAGAATTTAGAAATGTAAGCAGGCAGTTTATAATGGAGGAAAATATAAAGTTAATTTTAAAGTAGGTGACTGCATAAAGTGTATATACTATAATAACAAACTGTTCAGAATATTTTAGAGCTTAAAGGTGGGGTAGGTAAGTTTGAGAAGTATTCAGTAAATAAAAAATGTCACAACTGTGAAGCAATAAAGTGTAGAATGTTTGCCATTTTTGCCTGAAAAACGACTTCACATTTACTTATTGTCAAAATACTTATTTATTTCAATTGATGAAATGCCTAATTGTTTCAGCACTGATATCTTTGTATCATCAAGTAAAATAAATGCCTTTACTGTCAGCACCTGTCGAGCTCAAAAGTAATGTATCACTGACTGAATAGAAGAACATTTGCTACAACGGAGTCAAAACCTCACACTTCAACCGAGATTTCAACCGAGCGAGAGAGTAGGAGGAGGCCTTCTGGTTACCATGGTGCAGACAAAAAGATACTGTGTTGCTGCCTGGGTGATGCTGTGTTCATGTTTCAGTGCTGTTCTCCATGCAGTCAAGGCAGGAGGCTCCCACAATGAATACTATCACATTTCCGCCAGGCTCCATCTCTCACAGATCATACTGCTGCCTTCAAGGGCTTGAGCGAACATCAAAGGCAACTGTGATTTTGAATTCCTGTCAGAGCATTACAACCTCTGCAGCTTCCCCCTCGCCGGTGAAAAGCCCAGCCCCACTTGCTCCCACCCACAGCCATCTTTAATGATTTCCCAAAGACACACTCAGGGTTTAGTGGCACAGCGCATCGTAGTGGGAGGGTCAAGTGAGACATAAGAAGCCCCCTCACTGCCTTTTGGTATGAGCAGTCACATTCTCTATATGTTCTCCCTCTTCGTGATGCACACGTACCCCCCGTGGGCAAGAAGAGGTGGTGTGAATCAGGAGGCAGAGAGCCAGAGCCTCAGATAACGGCACTGTGTGCATCAATGACAGTGTGGCTGGCTGCCCTGCACAAAATATTATTTACAGCTCACACTGAAGAGAAATTACAGCAGCAATCCTCTCCAGAAGGAGGAAAACCAGCTGACCTGGCAACACTTAGAGAGAGGCCAGAAGGAGGGTCAGGCACTATAATTATTATATGGCTTCCCCTTATTCACTGTCGTTATCTATACCACTCACATAGCCTGTGGGGGATTCAACCCACTGATGACAACAGGTTACTGGTGCATAAGAAGAAGATACAGAGGCAGTAAAGCATGTATAAACCTGGCCTGGCGGAAGCTTACTCCACTTGCAGCTATAGCACACTCGTGGCTTATTAACGTACGAGAAAGCCAGTGAAACCAATGGATGAACTTTAGAAGGGTAAGCATTAAATTGACCAATCGTGAAATATGATGTCAAAGCAGTTCATGCTGGCAAAATACCAACTTCTGAAATTGAACAAATGGAGCATAGAGGGCTGATTATTATTTTTTTTTTAATTAAGCATGTCTGGGCAATGGTCTAAAACCCAAATATATTCTATAAAACAATATATAAAAACACTAAGAAGCAGCAAATCTTCACATTTCAAAGCTAAACCCAGTGATATACTAAGTATGTTTAATGGCTGAAATAATGTTATTGATTATCAAATAATGCCATAATCAATTAACCATCTCATTGTTTCAACACTAGTGTTAACCACACATGCTACAGAGAAGGGCCTTTTGATGCAGGTCTTTGTGACTTTAAATAGAGTGCATATTTTTAGCTTTTGGGACCCCAGAGAAAAGCAGTCCATGTCTCTGGAGACAGGTAGAGCCCTGTTTTAAAAGAGCCTTAGATCCAGGGCTGTTTTATATAGAGGTGAGACTCACTGTACATTTGATAATACGGTTGTTAAAAAGGTGAGTTTGACGTGTTGGCAGGTCAGAGACAACAATACAAGTGTGTGACCTTAAGGCGTAGTTTAATGACTCTGAGTTTAGCTAACATGAACTTGCATCTGTCGTGACTTCCTGGCTTGCTCAGAACTTACCTAGCAGTGAACTAACACTAACACATGATGTGGGACAACAGCTGTTTCTTGTTGCCAGGCAGTGTGGAGTAACAGTTTGTTGTAAGTTTCACAATCAATTCCAGTGAAATGGGGAAAGGAAATGCATGTCCACATTTTTTGAGGGCAATATCACCACAGTTAAACGCTAGCAGGAGCAGCAGGATGTCACAGGCTGTGTGTGTGTGTGTGTGTGTGTGTGTGTGTGTGTGTGTGTGTGTGTGTGTGTGTGTGTGTGTGTGTGTGTGTGTGTGTGTGTGTGTGTGTGTGTGTGTGTGTGTGTGTGTGGTGTGTGTGTGTGTGTGTGTGGTGTGTGTGTGTGTGTGTGTGTGTGGTGTGTGAGAGAGAGGTGTTGATGCCAGGCACACATACCCATCGGTTCAGTCTTCTCCGTAGCATCTTCCTGTGTGTGTCTTCTCTGATATCTGATGAACTCTTCTGATACAACAGACGCCTCCGGGCTCAGCTTCTCCGGGGAATAACTTTACATGTATGTTAGTTCACCTGCTAGCTCCTCGGCTATCTATTCTCTACTCTAACGTTAGTTCTAGCTATATGAAATGCCGCAGCGTCGCTACATCGTTTCCATTTTGTTTGATTTCGGTATCTTCGCACCATTCGCATTCTCTCCCCCTGAATATTTTCCGCGTTGCGGTGTACTAGTAGCGCTTCCCTTTGCTCAAGGCTGAAGCAGTCCCTGACATTTCTCTCTGTGCCCTGTTGCTTAGACTCCTACAAATCATTTGAAGCTCTCGGCTCTGCCTCCCCGTTGACTCGCAAACTGCCAGACACACCGCAAACTAACTTCTGTCTTCTATCCCTGTGCACAGGTCGCCTCCCTGTCAAACAATGTTCTACTCCAGCAGCAACCCAGCGGCAAAACGTTCCCACGTTCACAAGCTCCACCCGGCGAAGGTGCGGCGAGTTTAGCTCGCAATGTACTATGGGAAATGTGGTCCAGAATTCAAACTACAATCTTTCCTATTTCCCTGCATGTTCTGGAGAAAAGAAGCGGCAGTTGTCGTTGTTTCTTTACCATTGTGTATTTATTGATTGTCCTGAAACAATTATTCTCCTTTTTTTTATTGTATGCATTCTGAGGCTTTATGGCTGGATAAACATGATTGGCTTTTTTTTTTTTAATTGTGATATACAAAATGTTTTGTACTTAGACGACCACAACCTTTTAGTCAATAATATTGTTATTCTATAGTCATTTTATATTAATACAATAAAAAAGCAACTCTACATTCAAGGTATTTCACAATGAGTTTCTTTATTTTTTAAAAGCCCTGTAATAAATGAAAAACAAAAATGCAATAAACTATTTAGCACAATTGAAAACATATGATTTATGTAAAAAGCCCTCGCCCTTTGTTGTATGTAATTAACTTTATTTTATTACTTTAATGCAATTTCTGTTATGTGTATTATTGTCTTCTGTATGCATCTTATCCTTTTCAATATTCTTATTTGAAGACTCTGAAAGCCATGTTGTTTCTACATGCCATTTTCCAATAAAGATCTCAAAAAGTTTGTGATTGCACTTCAAGGATCATTGAGCGTTGCATAAAAGCCTCATATAATTGAATTCTTAGACGATGCAGAAGAGGATTTTCTAGAGTGGCAGCCAATCCCTTGCATTAGAGTGATGAATAACAAGCTATGGTGGATATTATACAAATATGTCAACACAACCCTAAGATGCAGTTGTCCTTGGAAACATATAGCCTATAAACAACAGGTAATCTTTTATGAACAAAAACACAATGGAGCTGGTACGCTATATCTTACGCTGTAGCTTGGAGAATACAAGCTTTTCACTTCTGTATGAAGCACTTGGAAAGGCTTGGCTTATTTGAAGCTAATAGTAGCAATTACGATGGTTTGGCTTATGAAAAGCTAATGTACTTGCAGGAATCTTGCTATTTTGAGTTGCCTTTACATATATGTAATGTATGTCTGAATGTTTAAAAAATGACAATAAAAAGAGCTTTCAAACTAAACAAAAAAGTGTCAGCTAAATGAAATTGGATATTAATTGTATTATTCCTCAACAATATTTCCAAAGATTATTAAATAAGCACGTCCATTTTAGATCATGTTTCAACATAGAACCTCATTTAGTTAGTCATTTAATACTAGTTGAACATTACATTTTATATTTGTATGTGTTTTTTATTTATTTATTTTGTATATGTTTCTAGTTATTGTGCTTTTTATTATGTTTTTAATTATTGTTTTATTATTGTACTCCCATTGTGTTATTTAATATTGTAGTTACTGCCTGTACAGCACTTTGGTCAACTGAAGGTTGTTTTAAATGTGCTATATAAATACATAAAGATTGAGATTGAGATAGTTAGCTTTCTTTCAAGCATCCTGCAAAAGTAATAACATGGAGTTGTTATATCCACAAGTTATGTGCAGGTCTTGAACTGGGTGCTCTAAGGGTAACTGTAGCCTATTGGAAATAATAATTGTGATTAAAACGTTCTTGATTGGAAAATGATTAGCATATAGGAAAGGGTTTTTGTACAATCAGGTTAGACAGCTTAAAGATGGCATCTTTCCAGTTTGTAAGGCCAGCTTAATAAAAAAGCAAATAACCTTTAAGGTAATCAGTACAAAACCCATTTTTAAAAGATCATTACCTAAAGGTAATTGTATGTACATTTGATTTGAGATTTTTAAAAACAATGATCTTCATTTATGAGCTCTAACATCAAATTGCCCATCCACTGTTGGCATTTAATCAGCCAACCAGACTATTAGGGAATAAGCTTGGCCTCTGCATTTTAGAGTGTTAGTCGGAGTCAAGGCTGTTGAGCATCTGGAATTAAATTGACCCGCTTGGTCAAGAAAAAAGTCATACCCTTGAAGTGTTACATTTATCAAGGCATGTTTGCAAAACTCCTCAAAGGTTTCACTGCTTGATACTATCTTACATTGGTAGAGAGATTACCACGTAAGGATTTGAGGAATTCACATTTTCAACCACCTGTGATAGAAAAACACATCTGGATCAGTTTCTTAACTACTGGTGTCATCGGGTATAATGTGACGACGAAGTGTACATTTGTGCTATTGTGGCAAACCTTCAGCAATGAGGAAACTACTGTTCTGTGAACGACTGGAAAACAAAAAACAAAGATTTATATTTATTATATTTTGAGTCTTAGATTATATAATCACGAAATTGCATTAAAGGATAAAGTCTAAACGCTTCAAACTCAATACAGGCAATACAGTATTAAATAGTGCCAAAACATCATGTAGTTCACAAACAGAAGCACTCTTTTGGTTCTCAGAGGCTAATTTGTTTTGTGTCACAGCATGAGTGACCCTGGCAGCTATTTGCATGTGGCAACAGGTTTGCATATTTGCTTCACCTCCTTCCTGTTAAAGGAATGTTGTCAAGTGTAGCTAGATTGCAAAAAATATATTGGTACATAACCTTAAGACATATTTCATGCTATCAAGGACACCAGCTAAGTGAGTTGAGGTCACGTTTAACGTATCAGGTCTATCTTCATATGACCCAAAAAAAACATCAGCTGATCTCGATGTATATGTGGTTTGTGATTAATGTTCAGTTGAAGCTTTACTGAAATCGGTAGAGAGAAAAAAATGTAGTCAGAAAAGTAAAACTAAAATTACAATTAGCAGGGAAAATGGAATGTTCACAATTGAAGAAATCTACTGAGTATGTATTTGCTTAAGGGTAATGATTGTATTTGTACGATTTTGCATAACCAGTGAGGTCAACAGCTCAAACATGGTTAAGTAGCTGGGTTCAATGGCACTTGTTCTTAAGACAAATGAGTTCTTTGAGCTTTTATCTATAAAATGATGTTAATTATGTGAGCATTCAAAGTCAAAACATTTGAGGTGCCCATCCTGTTTGTATATTGTGGTTTCTCTATCTGCGTCATGCCATGCACCTGACAGTGACATCACATCAGGAAGTCACCAGATTGATTAACACGGTGTTCTCCAGCTATGCAGAGAAAACCTTGAACATAATCAAACCAGGGACCATTGACACATTTTACAACACTGGCTCCAGGACCAGTGTAAATGTTTACGTTTCAACAAAACCACTCAGCCAGCTCAAATACTCTAGATATTTTTAGAATTCACAGCACTGTCAACACATACTGTACATGTACTGTGGCACTGTAACTACTTTATAATAAAGTGTATATATAGGTTAAAAATCTGTAGTTATGTTAAATGTGTTGCATTATCTTTATCCTATGCTGTCAAAACTAGAAAAAGCTTTCCTGGCAATTTTGTCTTTTTGCTCGGAAGGCTATTTTTGCAGTAAGGCATGAACATATTAAAAATACACAAAACGCATTTAGAGAAATGTGATGATTGTTAGGAGGAACTATTTGTCACATCAGCCATCCCCTTATGTGGCTGTACCATAGATAGACTGTATCTATAAAGAGCTGTACATTGGACTCTAACTCCACCTAGTGGCCAAATGTAGAAAGGTTTTATCATGTTTTTCGAATTTTGACAATCAATGTCTCTTTTCTCCTTCCTGCTTCCCAGAAGGCAGCAATGAGGGAGCTGCAGTGAAACTAAATTCACTGGATTTCACCCACAGTAAAGACATGTGCACAAAACTGCAATTTAAACCACATATATCTTAAACTATGGGCTCAAAATGATAACAAATATATATATATTGTCATTCCAAGTGATAAAAAAAAACACTCTAATTATTAGACTAGAGAATGCAATTGCTGAAGAAATTGCTAGTGGGAATGCTTTATGCTGAAAAGCTGACGCTAAACTGCTATGCTGAAATGTAATGTGTAAGAAGAAGGTGAATAATTTAGATTGAAATGATACATGAACACTGGGGGCTTGAATGTGTGATGAGAGAAGAAAATAAAGTAAAAAGGCTTGGAAAAGCAGCAGAATATTTGAACTGCAAACTTTTGAACTAATTTGATGGTGAATGATCTGTCGCCATGCCAACGGCATTTGATGACATCCCATAATACGCTTAGATGCGTTGATCGCTGCATCGTTACCAAACCTGTGAAGTTTTGGGCCATTTGGAGCATTTTCACTGAAGTTATAAGAAAACCGTGTTTCATGGTGAGCATTGTGTTGCCATGGCAACGGCATTTGAAGAAATCTCAAAACTGTCCCGTAGATGTCTTCACGGCTGGACTGTTAATAGCCTACTCATGTGAAGTTTGAGCACTTTTTGAAAATGTTCATAGGAGTTATAGCGACATCGTCTTTTATGGCGAGGGATGCGTTTCCATGGAAACGGCACATGATGAAACCCCATAATTGACGTAGAGCTGTTGAGGGCTGGACCGTTAACCATTATCTGAAGTGTGGTGCTGCTTTGACCCTTTTCATAGGCGTTACGACAACATTGTGTTTTATGGCGAGGGATGCGTATCCCTCGCCATAAAACACAATGTTGTCGTAACACCTATGGAAATGGCATATGGTGAGATGTCAGATTTGACGTAGAGCTGTTGAGGCATGGAGAGGTGATATACAGGTGAAGATTGTGGGACGACCGGACCATGTCCATTTTTTTAATGGATTTTATTTGATCAAAACCATTTGATATCCTAAATAATTTAAGATGTTTTTCTTAAAAAGAAAGTTAAGTTTGTCGTTTTTGTTTGTATTTGTTACCATATACTATAAATACTGTCTATCAAATTGTAATGATCGTAATGATTGTTTGTATTACTTCATGAATTTTACTTAACATAGGCTACTGCACGTGGTTTGTCCTTGTTTGTCATGCTTTGCTTTCTGTTATTTTGTTCATGTAGGCTATGTCTGTAAGACCTTGCTTTTGTCGGGACCCCCTTGAAAACGAGATGGTGCATCTCAAGGGGTTTATCCTAACAAATAC